TTATTATTATTTTTTTTTTTCCTAGGTTCTTACTCTCCAAACATAAGACTTCATGGTCATTCTGGTGGTTTGTCAAACAAGAATAGCCTGAACAGTACAACAACGTCCAAGAGACAAAAAAGACGTTGACCACCAGAGGGAGACACAATGGGAGGGCTGACCGCTTGCCAGTCAGCGTCTCGATTTATTAAATGGCAAAGGGAGTAACAAAGGCAATAAAAAGAAAGGAAATTTCAAAATTATGCTCCAATGAGGGGGCACAGTGTGGGATCTAGAAAAAAAAAACACCTCAGCGCACAGCGCTATTAATGCAGGATTATTAAGACAACAAAACTCAGAGTCGCGGTTTTATGGTGTCCTGTTTATCGTAAATGGAATAAAGAAAAATAAATGGGAGGAGGGGTTGTGGGTGCGTAATTAGTAGCTTTTCACTGTGGATGAAGTATCTACGCCTGTGGCTACTGTGGTATGGTCTGTCTATGTGTGTTGCTTCACCGTTTGCGATCAAATGTTCCCCCCTTAGCGTTACCACAGTGAAAAACAGTTCCTATTTTTTAGCCTGTCTCGGCATTTCCAATTATCTGGGAGCATTAAGCTAGCAGACTTAAGTCATGTGTCTTTAAAAAAAAAAAAAAAAAAAAAAACACGGGCAGGTTACTGGAGTAAAATCAGAAGTGTGTGTCAAACTGATAACCCTTCACATTGATCAGTATTTTTCAATAAGATGGATGACACCTGCAAGCGGAGCATTTTAGTTTCGTAGTCATCTTTTTTTTTTTTTTTTTTTAATATAAATCACATATCGAGCAGGGGTAGGGGAAAATGCGTTGGTTATTCTTCAAGCCTTTCCTTTTTTTCGTCAAAATGTAATCCAATATACAGTCAAATGAAATCCACATATCATGTTGTGAAATTAACTGTGCAGTAAACGAGGGCACAAGCAGTTGCATCATCCAAATGCTCAAGTAACTTCCAGGAATTGCAATTGTGCGGCGTCGGATTGGAATTGCGCCGCTGTACTGCCGGATGTGGGCCAACGTGCTCATCAAGGGGGACGTATTACACACGCTGTAATAGCTTCATCAAGCGGCAGCAGCCTCGTTCCCGTACACCAGCTGACTTCATTTTTAACTCTTAATAATGCTTCTCTTTGCACATCCTCGCACCATTTCAATTATTTTGCCTTATCTTTTCAGAGGGGTTCCATTGCATTCCCTTACAGCTGCTCGTGGAGCCATAGATTGGGTTTCATTATTCACAGCCCCATTATTGTTTTTTTTTTTTTTTGAAGTGCTCTTTTAATGTAAGTGAAAAAAGTGGAACGTGTCTGTTCATTTCTAATGGCCTGGCAGGATCTGGGGGAGTTCAGCCTCAACCGGAGGCCACTTCAAGGTGCGTTTCAGACCGAACAAATTGCCCGTCACGGTATGACATATATCTTGCGTCCCATACCTCAGGCCACCGGGACACTAGAACGTTTCCCACCATTTGCTGTTTAAATGCACCTCTCAGCAACGACGACGGGCTGTTGTCACTCTGAAATTCCTCGGCCACCCTCGCTTTTATCACACGTGCCGAGTCACATATGTCAATACGGGTGCGTCAGCCATGGAGGCGCCGCCAGCCTCCGTGACACGTCGGGCCCCGGGTGAGCCCCCAAGGACCACATGAGTAGCCCCCGGGGCCTGTTCTCGAGACAATGTTGGGACAATTGTGATTTTCCCAGGAATGTTGTCGTCCCGATCCTTTGAAAATGTGAACACCGGCAGATTTATTTAGAGAAATAAAATGTTGCATAAGGATACACTAGTCACAAAAAGTTTGGGCTAAAACATCGTTTCAATCACTCGTCACGTGGCCTTGAGCATCTATTGCAGCTTGACCACGATGTCGTCGTCGTCTTAAGCTGTTCACAAGTCGACTTTTTGTCTGCTGAGGCGCGGCATCCCACTCTTCTTGAAGGGCAGTTTGTGGAGGTTCCAGAATTACACTCGGTAGGTCTGGATCGTATACCCGCCGATAAGCGCGGAGGTCACTGGAAGCCCTCTTCAAACCTCCTTGGTCCTTTTATATCTGCTCAGAATAGAGAAGGACAATTGTATCCAGCACAGAATGTTAAGTGCATGCCTCCGTGTGCACACAGCGTACGTTTATGTGTGTGTGTGTGTGTGTGTGTGTGTGTGTGTGTGTGTGTGTGTGTGTGTGTGTGTGTGTGTGTGTGTGCGTGTGCGTGTGTGCGTGTGTGTGTTTGTGAAAGCGCGCGAGAGACAGAGAGCGAGACTTACTGTTTGGTTGTTTGCTCCGAGCTAAACAGATGCGTAAATAGAAGATAGGGGAGTCCAGTCACATCAGATTAGACCAAACGGCAACATTCTCAACTCACACACAAGCGCAAACGACACTCACGCAGACACTAAAGTCGGGAGAATTGGCAGGAGGGAAAACGGGCACCGGCAAAGCAATGTGCCTCAGTCACACAGCGAGCCTTTTATGAACCATAACGGGAAAACAGCGCAGCACGGAAAAAGAAAAAAAAAACAAAAAAAAACACCCGGAGAGTGGATTGCTTTGTGACACACGCACGCACGCACGCAGAGTGGCATCAATACAGTTGGCGACGCATACCATCACATGCGCTTCACGAAGCCTCTCGTTGCCCTTCCAATATGAGGCGCTGTGGTGAGCTGCGATGATGATAACGACTTGATTGACGAATGCCAATCAAGATGAACTGCGTGCGGCAAAACGGGTTACCAAGAGAAATGTGCAAAGTACAGTTGCCGCGTCACCTTCGCCGCCATAAGGCAAAGTCGTCACATAGACATCGGGCCGGCCAATACGGCGAGTGAGCGTGTACATATCACCGAAGCGGATCCCTTATCACGCGGCAGCCGTCTTACCGCACCATCTGGAGCGCAGTCGGCTTGATCAGCCCACGTTCGAAGCCGTAGCGCCATATGGACGATGTGCTCAAAGTGCCTGTCACGGCGGACGACATGTGGAATCGCGAGCGGCCATTTAGATTCTTAATTGTGTCGGCGCACGGGCTTCATCCTCATTCCATCACAGAATCAGCCGAGACATTGGGGGGAAATTACCGTTTAATCAATTAATTAATCAACTGGACTCATCCCTGGAATGTTAATTCTTGTTTTCGCACATTGTTGAGGGCAACGGTATTATTCTGTCCTCCCTGAGCGCACCGAGTGCAGTTTGCCAGCTAGTGAACGGTCCTTCAAAAAGCGTCCAATGTTGCTGATGTCAAGCCATTTATGACACTGCAGTTGAAGGTTCCTGTAAAAGTGAACTCATTGAATGAAAAAAAAGTCACATCAACTAAAAAAAATAAATAAAATGAAAATAAATCCCCCAAAGATAACACTGAGCGGCCAGTGGTTAGTGTATTGACCTCAGAGTGCAGAGGTACCGGGTTCGATTCTGGCTCCGGCCTTCTTGTGTGGAGTTTGCATGTTCTCCCCATGCCTGCGTGGGTCTTCTGCGGGTACTCCGGTTTCCTCCCGCATTCCAAAAACATGAGTAGCAGGCTGATTGAACACTCGAAATTGTCTCTCGGTGTATGTGTGAGTGCGGATGGTTCAGGGTGTCCCCCGCCTACTGCCCGAAGACAACTGGGATCGGCTCCAGCACCCCCCGCGACCCTTGTGAGGATAAAGCGGAACGGAAAATGGATGGATGGAATAATGGGAGGAAAAAAAAGTTGGGCTGTAGGCAAAAGATGTAAAAGTGGTGAAGTTTGAAGTGACGGAATTGCAAGCCAAAGTCAAACATGATTAAGTTACAGAAAGAGTGGCAGTGTTATCGCAAAGCCTTCAACCATTGCAAAAATGTCAGGAAAAGCCTACTAGAAAACCTGCAATTTACTCGATAATTAATGCGAAGCACTTTAAATGGTGTACTGACTCCCTCTTAACCGGAGTTGCAATGTAATTTGTTCATTCTGAACGCTGCCAATTTCAGAGGGTTTGCACACTAATGCAACCACATATTTTTTTCTCTCAATTGCTTATTTTGACTTTCCCTTTCAAAATGAGAAAAAAAAACCCAGAATCCAGATGTACAGGTTATCAGACACATTCAAGGCGGGAAAAAAAAGTTTTGAAACGATTCTTGTCAATCTCATTTTGTATATCGCCCACACAATTTCAGGGGTGTGTAGACTTTTGATATCCACCATACACAATGCCAACTGGTTGACAATCACATGTGGAGCCTCGCCGTTTGGTGCTGGAGATGGATGGATGGATGGATGAGGAAGGAAAAGGGCGGGGTGGGAGGGGTTAATGCAGAAGATCTCAGTGGAGGAGGAGGAGGAGAAGGAGGAGGGAGGGCGGCGCAATCAGAAGGCTGAGTGGTTCTGGTAAATATTTATATTGCATTATGATACGTGCAAGAGTGAAAGAGCGGGAGAGGAGAGGCAGTATAAGGGAGGGGGGCGTGGTGATGGGGTTGCGGGTTGGTGTTGGGAGGTGGGGGGCTTGGCTAGAGCCTCCATCCCTTTATTAATTTTATTCCGCTCCGCTAAGTTTAGCATTCAACACGTGTCGCCAGTGATGCGGGGGGGGGGATGCGGAGGGAGGGATACAGAGAGAGAGAGGGCGAGTGA